GGGAGAGGTGGGTGGGACCTCTTTTAGTTTGCGCGTGTTGCTTTTGGCCCGCCCTCCACCCTATGGAGCAACTCGTTGCTCATTTGCATCAGCTGCAGCGCTACGTGGTCTTCCGCGAGCGTGTTCGAAATGCTCTCATGTTCATCGATGACGTTTTGGACAACATCGACACCTACAATCTGAATCCACAATGGACACAGCGAATGTCCGTGACCAGGGAAACCCTAGTTACGTTGGATCGTGAATTGACGCAAACAATTGCTTTTACCTTTACCAGTGCACAGCGTGTTCTTGAGAATACCACTGAAAGGTGGAATTGGTCCTAAGGAAGTTACAACCTTCCATAATTTGTACCATAAAGCCTAACCCTGCCGTTGGAAGAGGGAGGCCGATCATGAGACAAGACTGGATCTCCCCGATGCTGTCTAAAAGTGCGGAAGGAGTCAGCAGAGCGAGAGAGTCGCAGTTTGCCATATGCATGTGTGATAAATCTGAGAATTGAATTGTGTAGATTAAATAAATATATATTATATATATATATATATTTTCTATTGCTGATTAGACAGGCTGAACATGTTCGAGATGTGAGCTATGTATTGCCAGTGATGTGTGAGGCTATAGACCTGCAGGTCGCTTTCGTGGTAGAATTAAGCAGTGAGCTTAGCCAGCTTCAGGTGCGAGGAAAGACCCGGCCTTGTAATGAACTGCAATGACACACTTCAACATCAGACTCATAAAGTTAAGCCTTCTCTGTTGAATGTACTGCATGCACCTGAGGTCCTTTAATGCAAAACAAGGCTTTGGCTTCATAGAGAACCCGGAGGCTTATGCAATGTTTGGAAGGCCTGAACAAGCACCACTTGGCCTGTGTAATAGATCCAGCACCAGTTGACTTCGCCACCTCCCTGCAGGGATGTCTTCTTGCACAAGGCACAGATTGGCAACCTCAAAGTGGGAATGGAGGCAGCCGGGTTTTGCGACCTCAAGAGTTGCCCGAGCAGCTTGGAGTAGAGGCTCTTAACAAGTTCAAAGAGAAAGGCCTAAATGAAAGGTAGTTTGGCAGTGTCTCAGCCTAGACTGCGTAATAAATAGGATAGTAAATTGTGTTTCTCCCTTCGGCTGCCCTCGTCTCCTAATTCAATTGTGTTCAATCTTGTTATGTTCCATTTCTATTGTTTTCAAGAACAAATTGAACAACATTTGTAAGACTTGTTGAGTTTGAAGCTTCCGTTTGATCTTGGACGGTGTTGACAGACCCCTGACTCTTGTTTTCTATTCGCAACTGTTTCTTACAGGGTGACCTTAGAATAATCAAGCCGAATCGAGCCTTATCTACAGGTTTAAAATTGATTTTGGACATTCCTTGTGGATCCGGTCGCCAGCGTGACAGGTGACATATGGTGTGGAGATGAACAAGTTTGGCATGCCACAGGCCAGCGTGCCAGACGGCCAGACGGAAAGACTTGGACTTGTCACTCTTTTTTTAAATAGGGGGTAGGCCGCTGAGGGAGGTAGTAGCTAGCTGGTAGCTTAGAGGTAGCTAGTACCTACCTTGGACGCAGGATAGCTCGCACTTCCTTGAAGAAGCGCTCGCACTATTCATTTGGTTCCTAGATTTTTGGGAAACTTAAGCAGGAAGGTTGTTCTGCAATGAGGCTCGTGAGCTGGCCACCCTAGATGGGAAACCACCTGGTCCTCCTCCGGCAAGTGTCGCCAAGGCGCCTGGCAAAGTGAAATGTTGAAACCCTAGTAGCTTCTTGTTACTAGTAGTAAGGCACTTGTTTCTACTAGCGTGGCACTTGTTTCTAATGGCTTCTAAGCAACACTACAGATGTTTTCTGATAAATTTCCTCCAGCCTTTGTCGATTCATTTCTTGAGCATGATGCGTCTGACATGAGCATGTGCTGAAGTGTCAAAACAGGGCGGCACAAAGACCAAAGTATCTGGCAAGAGGCCGACCAAGGGCAAGGTTGGACACCAAGGTGAGACCTGTGAGATGCTGTCATGTCCTGGAAAAAATCAGCTCTCATGCCAGATTCAAAGCAAGATTGGAATGCGCGCCAAGGATGATGGCGATGCGCCTACGACACATGCCCTGAGAAGTACAAATGCATTGAATTTGATCAAGGCCTGAACTTGGCTGGATGAATCACTTCTGGAATTGTTCAAACTTCATCCCAGTCGAATTGTCCCAGGTGCCAGATTTGCAGCATGCTGCCGTTTCTTTACGGTGTGGCGGCCAAGCGCCACAATGCTCGGCAGACTTTCAGCAAATCTTTGTTTCCTAAAGTCCCTGAAGCAATTCAGTGTGGAATACCTTCTGCTCAAAAGTTCCCGTAGACAAGCTGTGCCTGAGAAGCTGCACGAACTGTTCCTTAGGCACTAATGCTTCGGAACAGCTGTTCTGCCAGACACTCAAATTGAGAAGACAAGGATGATAATAGGAGCAAGAAGCTACTAGTAACAAAGGCATCGCTACTAGGAGCAAGAAGCTACTATGCCAAAGGCACCTAAAACGGTTGCTTTGGATGTTGAGACCACCTAGGCCTCTAGGCCTCGGCCAAAGTGAGGATGACAAATCCCTGCAGCGATATGTTTAGCATTGCGCTCTCGTAGCCATCGGCTTTGTGCCTTTCCCCAACCAAGCAGAGGTTTGTTCTTGAAGGGCCAATATTTGGAGGACTAGTAGAAACAAGAAGCTACTAGTAACAAGTGCATCGCTACTAGTAACAAGTGCCTTACTAGTAGTAACAACGTAAGCGAACGTAGAAACAAGAAGCGATGTATCGCAGTTGACACTACGGTTGGAGGGGTAGGCCATTCAGCACGCTGCAGCTGTTAATATCTTTGTAGCCCTTGCTTCTGCAAACGGCGAAGCACTGACTTTTGAAGCCATCAAGAATGCAGCAGGAAATTTCAGAAAAAAAGAAAACAAAAAACAGGCACACCTGTATGCCAAAGGAATCGGACAGCAAACCATGTAGTACAGTACACGCTTTCCTTTGAGTCACAGCAAACCCCAACGTAAATCTGAGTACGGCAAGATCTTTTAATTGGATCATGTAGGAGTGGAAGCAAACACTTTTCGTGCAATACACTTGCACAATGTGCCGAATTTGCTGGAAATGACAGCCTACCGGCGAGCTTTGTTTGCAGAAGTTATGGAGGTTAAAAAGAGAGCCTTGTTCACCTTAGCAATTTCTGCCTTTTGAGGGCCCTCCTCAGCCTTACTGTGCGACGGTGTTCGTGCATGTCCTACTCTACTGTACTTGTTTGTAGCTGTCACAGCTCAGACTTCTGAGTTGATGTGTTTCAGGTCATCTTATGCGCCTGCCCAAGCAAGCACCGAACCGCCTTTTTCCCTTGTTGGATCTGACCATGTTTAGGACCTCATGGCGTCGAGTCGTTTCAAGCCTCACTTAGACTCGGCGGCTTCGAGCGGGGATCAGGTGAAGTGAGTCGAGCGTCGAGACTACACAGATTGTGTCATGGGCCAGCACCTTGGAGGGCGGATGGAGGGTCTCAGGCAGGTGCTGGAGCTATCATTTAGATGAACAATGATAAACATTCGGATAAACATGTATCGAAACAAAGATCTCAAAACTTGTCCCAGGTCCTTCTGACTTTGCCTGAGCTTGTATGTAAGGTATCACGTTCATGCTTATTGCAGATGGGCGTTTCATTTCTCTTTTGCTAGATGCTGCCAATCCATCACCAAGAATGCCTCCAAAAAAGTTCCGAGGGAGGAAATGTCTCTCCCAAGGCCTGCCAAATGCTGACACAAAATGCTGCCAATTCATTGCTGTCAAGAGCTCCCATCATTCTTCCAAGCGTATTCTTTTCTCTCTTACAGAATCGATGCCCATGTGTCTTCCAATCCTGGGAATTACCACTTTGGGGGTTATGCTGCTACACTGGCGTAATCAGGGGCTAGCATGAAAACGCAAGGTGCCCCATGCTAGCCACCTGAGCTCAGGGAGCAGTCTGTCGGCTGAAGAAGAGCCAGGGCAGAAGGCATTGGGCAAGTGTTGCTTGATTTTGCTCCGGGAGTGAAGACTATCCGACTATCCTTTGATGCGCTGCAATGCATGATCCTAGTCATACAAGTGTGCATATGCCAGGAAGAGCTCCAAGCTTCAGCAGCCCCGGCATCTGCAGACTGTGCTCAGCAACTTGATTGCACCATACCGATCCTGCCTTGCTTTCCTTGCATCACTTCCTTCCAAATTCTAAGCATTCCTTTGTTTGATCGTGCATTTGAATGCAGTCAAGGCCACCTTGTCCGGGAGGCGACGGCAAGGCCTGCTTGATTTGGTTTCAATTTCTATCCTGGGCCAAATCCTCACCGCTGACCCGACTCGTTCGCAGGCTTCCTCCGATGTGGTCTCCGTTCCCGTGGAGAGTTCCGAATCCAAGGCCAGCGCAGCCCCTGTGACAAAATGATGGAGAAATTGAAAGCGAGTGATAGTCAGGATGGAGAAGTCATGTCCTTTTTGTTTACCGGGTATACCGGTATACCGCACAGAAGTTGCTTTCCCTCAAACACCATGATACACCGTGATGCTAGAAGTAAGATTGACAAGATGCAGCAGAAATGATGCCGAGAGCAGATGAAATTGAACATTTTCATGATCTGACTCATGATCTCATGGTGTGCAATGGATCTGACTTGGCTCGAGTATGGTTTGTCTGGAGGCTGCGGCACAACCAGGGCTGTCTGCAACCGAGACTCCATCAGACACTCCAGTTCCTCCAGAGCCTGAAGAGGAAGCAGCCCCTGATTCGCAAGCCCACATCTTAGAACTTCGAGCGCATGATGCGAGTGATGCGAGGGACTGCCATCTGTGCTCTGATGCCTGCGATTCGAAGCTTGAAACCGATACTGTAATTGAATTTTAATGCTGTGATGCAGGTTGCTCCCGACAGATTCGAGCACAACCTGGGAACTTCCTCGCCAGCTTTGCAGCTGCAAAGTCCTCCGCGAGCACAGCGTGAACTCTCACCAGAGTCAGAGGCACTTCTGAAAGTGTCACGAGATCCATGTCCCATTCGAATTGGTCATTGGCAAACTGGGGAAGCTCGTACTCTTGCAAGGCTCTAGATCTGGATGCGACACAGGCCTGAAGCAGTAGAAGGATCAGTCATGAGTCAACTTGTCAGTTGCTAGAGTTGTCAGGTGCCCGGTCAGCTTCATTCCGAGGCTCACGATGCAATCATTTTGTTCCAAATTCCTTCATTGCTAAAGTGGATGAACATCCGAGGCAACAAGGGAATGTCGAAGTACATTTTGAGTTTTTCAGTGCAGAGTCTGCTTCGAGGCCAAAGCCCCACGAACACTAGAGCAGCAGATGTCGTCAGCCTGGCTGAACTTCAAGGGGATGACGGAAAGCGTTGTAGCGCTCGGAAGTATTACCGAAAGGGAGGGGGGGTGGGGGGGGCCAAGCTGATTTGCAGAGCGTGTTTTTTTTTTTGCATGTTTGAAGGTGCGTAAAACACCGTAATTTACAGTAAAACGTTGTTTTGGGTGGGTATTTTACCTGCAAAGGAGGCAATTTTTGAGGTTTTTCTTGTTTTCTGGCATTCCAATGCTTTGAAGGGCAATGTGCATGAAACACTGGTAAAAACCCATGAACGAATGAGGTCCGACAAGTGTGCTTGCGTGTGAAAGCTTGCCCCGGACATTCCACGATGTCAATAATGCAGTGTTTCCCAGGTGGCATAACCAGTATAGCGAACGTTTGGACAAGTGTAGGGAAGGTGTTTTTGAGAGCTTTTGTTTGCTTATGAAAGCTTGCTCCAGTGGGTGATCAAATTTAGAGCATGTTTGTGCCAATCTTCGGCGATCTTGGTGCATTCTTGGGACATATCCTTCTCCATGTTGGCACGTTTCGCCAAATGTTGGGGCTCTCTTGAGGCTTCTCGTGGGGGGATGTTGGAGGTGATTGGGGCCGTGGGATCTATGTTGAGGGCTTTGCTGCTGCTATTATACTTCTTTGCGGTAAAAGCCATGACAGATTTAGGTCCGACAAGTGTAAGGTTACTTGCTTTCTCTGTCGTTTGACTTGGGCAGGTGGTTTTACGTAGTGTGCGTAAAACACCGTAAAAATCATGAAGCAATGAGGTCCGACAAGTGTAAGAAAGGTGGTTTTGACAGTTTTTTTTTGTCGTTTTTGTGGCTTACGAAAGCTGGCTCCAATGGGCGGTCAAATTTGGGCATGTTTGTGCCAACCGTCGGCGATCTTGGTGCATTCTTAAGGCATATCCTTCTCCATGTTGGCACGTTTCGCCAAATGTTGGGGCTCTCTTGAGGCTTCTCGTGGGGGTATGTTGGAGGTGATTGGGGCCGTGGGATCTATGTTGAGGGCTTTGCTGCTGCTATTATACTTCTTTGCGGTAAAAGCCATGACAGATTTAGGTCCGACAAATATAAGGCTACTTTTTTTGAGGCCATCGTTGTATTCACGCCGCTCCGCGGCAAGGTCCGCCCGCACCGCCATGACACAGTTGCCCAACAAAAGCGGCGAATAGCGAGGTTTTTGAGGTTGACGTTGCCAAAAACGCCATTACGTACCGTACTTTACAGTGTTTTTGCGGTGTGTGAGGCAGGAACCACTGCAATTAACCATGTTTTTGAGCTTGCAGTGGGCCAAAGCACTGCTATTTACAATGTGTTTGAACCTGCTGTCGAAAAAACACCGCAACTTGCGACGTTTTCAACAACATGGTCGCCAAAAGCACTGCTATTTGCGAGGTTTTTTACATTTTCGCGCAAGGAACTCAAGCCTCGGCAATGTACAAAAGCACTGCAAAAACCAATGTTTCTGCCCAACAAAAACGGCGAAAACCGTCACCTAAACAGCTCCGAAATCACAAAATCTGGCCTCCCGGCCTCCCGACAAGACACATGGAAAAAATATGCGTCTCAAAGCCGAAGACCAAAAGTCAAAAAGACACATGTTTTTTTTCCACTTTTCTCTTGCCGGCTCCGGGCGGGCGCGTGCACGAACTATTCCATTCCGTGCTGTAAAAACAGTGTTTTTTCAAGTGCGCTGTCGTGACATCAAAAACATTCAAAAACCAATTGTTTTGGTCAACAAAATGCTCCCCCCCCAGGTAAACCTGTGCCTGTACCTTACAGTTGTTTATGCCATCCAGATGATCGCGCCCTCAGCACCTTCGGTGCGGGCGGATTTTGCTGCCAGTCTGCGGCTATCCTGGGGCATCTCCCTTATCATATTGGCAATTTTCACCCATTGTTCACAAAACATGTTGTGGGCTCTGTTGGGGATGTGGGGCTGCTGCTCCGCTTTCCATGTTTTTCCGAACTGGTTTGAAGCCAAATCACCATTGAGCTTTGCCAGATTGAAGCCTAGCGATGATGAGCGGACGGAAATTTCCAAGAAGATATCCTGGATTCTACGTCATGGTGCAAAGAAGGCATGGGAATCACCTCACTATTGGAACTCATGCTGCAACATGCTGAAGCCAAATCACGAAAGCTAGCGAAGCTAGCTGGAGTTACTCCCCTCTCCTCCTCCTTGTCTTCCTCCCACCTTCCCTCCCTCCCTCCTCCCTCTTCGCAAGTTCGACTCCGTCCTGTCGTCGCTCTTTGGCATGCGGTTAGCGTTGCGTATCTTGCGGCCGCACTCGCTCACTCGCTCACTCTCACTCTCACTGTCTCATTGTCTCACTGTCTCACTCTCATCTCTCTCATCTCTCTCATCTCTCTCATCTCTCTCTCCTCTCTCTCTCTCTCTCTCCTCTCTGTCTCTCGTCTTTCCGTCTCTCTTCTCTCTCTTCTCTCGCAGGAGGACCCGGGCAAAGAGCCACATATAAAGGACTCTTCACCCCTGCCTCCAAAAAGAGCGCAGTGTTTTTTCCTACCTCACTGCCCTCCACTTTCCCATTCTGGAGCGCTAGCTTTCGCCCCCCCCCCCTTGGCCTCAAGTCTTCTTCTTGAGAAACAATTTTGAAGTGTCTTCTGCACCTTTTGGGCCTTTGGCCCTTTTTTCACATGGGTGGACCCATATATACATTGTGGTGGGTAAGCCCAAAACTGATCCTGCCATCGCCCGTTTTGGGTTTAAGTGAACATGCCGATATTGGGCTTACGCTGAGCTCTGCTCCGTTCTTCTTCTTCTTCTTCTTCTTCGTCTGCTTCTTGTTTATACACACGATGCTAGTAATGCAGTGTCGCCCCTCCCCACACCCATAACTAGCATCATCAGAGCCTATGTTGGGCTATATGTTGAACCCGTGTTGGCAAAAACAAAGGACATGTACTGAATAAACACCCCGCGAACGCTTCCGGATAATGCTTGCTTGGGGATCACGCACGGCGCCTTCGGCGCGGGCGGTTTTCTATGAAAGCCAAGTGGCCATGATACCATTCAAGTGGACAACAGGATGTCCACTTGTTTGTGTATGGCTCTTCCCCATGGAAGCGGGCAGCTGTAAAGACGGCAGCCTGCAAGGAGGCGTGTTGCCGCTATAAAGAAAAGAAGGCAGCGTGTGGTATCAGCATCGGACCCCTTTCTGCACTGCTCAGCGGCAAAGACAAGCAGGCATGTTGCGTGCTAGCAGCAACCAACGGAGTCAACGAAAAGGCCATGTGTGGTGGTGCCCTTTGTAATCGTTTTGCGAAAGTTTGGGGAAAGGAAAGAGCAGGGCGCCAGCAAAGGAGCGCTATCTTGTGGGATCTAAGCAGCTCTCCCTAAGCAGCTGTAAAGAAGCAAGCCGCAGCTTGAACGTCATACTATGACATGCTCTTATGATGCTGACGAACACTTGTTGGGTGTCTGCGAGGGCTGGCCTTCATCCCCCCTTCTCACGTTCTTTTGTGTTTGCAAGCAGTTGCTGAATCCAGGTTGTCCCGGGTGTGGATGACGACGATGATGACGAGGAGGATGACCTCCCGAATGGTGGGCCAGCTGATGCAGGAGAGGATCATTATTGTAGTGGAACTGCCGGTGATGCACTGTATAGCCACAGCTGCTTTTTGATGACGCAATGAATGCAGTACGATGCAACGTGTATTGTTGTGTTAACGAAAGGTTGTGCCAAAAGAAAACGATTTGAGGTTTCAGGTAATTTTTTTCTATTTTTTGGTTTTATGTCCCTTTTGAACCTGAGCAGTGTGATCAGAGGAAATCCACCTCCAATACAATGGACCCGATCGTTTGTGACTGAGATGAGAGCCTGGTGAAAAAGAGTATAGCATCGAACTAACCTTTACCTGGACACGAACCAAACAATTGATTAAATTTCTAAAAAATCTAGGAACCGAGTCATTAAGGCTAGTGCTTCTTCAAGGAAACTTCCCCCGCCCTCAGGCGGCGGGAGCTTCCTTGAAAAAACGTGAGCTATCCTGCATCCATACTAGTATTTTAAGATGATTCAAATTGCTAGTAGCTACTCCATTACTTATATATTTATTTACTTACTTATTTAAATTACTTACTTACTTACTTACTTACTTACTTAAGTAGGCGTACTTAATTGAGTAGGAGGTAGAAGAGATGCAAACCGGAAGCAATAAAGGGCTCATGAAGTGACGATGTTTCATGGACTATTATTGGAGTTCAGAGTCTTGACGAGGTTGGGAGATGCTGAATTCAAGAAGTCTGACAGCTCACCACGTCTCTTGTCGACGCCTGACGTTAAGGTCTTGGCTGAACTTGCAGTGTGTACCATGTAAATGTACGTCCACACTGTGTCCTGACTTGCTGCGCATGGCAATTGTGGCAAGTTCAGCCCTTCGCTCCCTTCGGGTGCAACTGGTAGGTGCTTCACTTGGAGCCAAAGCATTTGGGCATAGCGTTTGTGCAAGAAGCTGAGCAAAGGTACGCCACGGATTCCAGAACGTACGATCTGTACCCTCAGGTGTCGGGCGCTTTACAATGCCATTGGCAAGAGCACCGCGGTTTCTACTGTCTCCAAGTGGTATGCCCAAGGATTGATTCAACAAGGTTCCT